TTGGTCATTTAAAACAATTTTGAGCCGGGGAGGTGCCAAGAAGAGGATTCAGACCCACTGCACTGAACTGTCAGGTCACAATATTTATAACTGAAAATGTCCTTTTGTCTGGACTTTAAATCTAAACCCATGTATGTAACTGAACAAACAAACAAACAAAAACACTGCACCCACTCAGGCACACATACACACACACAACCATATATCATACATACTGTATATGACACAAGAGTGTTAGCTAGCTGTATTAAATAAGGTATTCAGAGATGCTTGAGGTCACATCTGAGTGTTTTAGGGCAGTGCGACAACCAGCAACAGGCAGGACCGACGACATTTTTCTTTCAGCAGAAATGTAGGTATTGAACTTCACAGTTAACAGCCAGTTTAACAAATCAGTTACCTGACCTGCCCACGTCACTGACACAAAGTTGGAGGCAGAAATCCATGCTATCAGGGTATATGAATTTATACACACAGCAGCTCATTTGTGATTATTTGGAGTATTTGATCTGACAGCAGGAATAATCCCTCCATCCATTCAACTGCTTATTCTGGTCAGGGTGCGGGGTATCAAGAAATTATCCAAAATTTGCTGAAATGTGTCAGTTATCTGTCTCATCATCTTAAATACACTGAATGGTGGAGTGAGAGAGTGAGACCCTGCCCCAGAGTAAGTGATCTTACTCACCCAGAGGCCCATCAGCGAAGAAGAAGATGAAGAGGAGCATCAGAGGAGCCTTATGTGTGTCTCACTGACCTCAGATCTGTGGAGACTGACACTCACACCTTGGTTCTCCATAACTTTGCTTCATCTCTATGCTCACATACAGCAGTCACAGTAAAGAGGGAAGGGTCACTTTATGCATCACACAGGAAGTGATGCAACCACTGTGATGTTTCATACATAAAGGGGGCCCTTGTTCTCAAATATATTCTGGCATTCAAAGTTCATCAGTCATAAAAATTCACATATCAAGGGATTAATTTTCACACTGTTATATGAGTGCATTGAAATTCTTTTTAAATACTATGTGCTATGGTCAGACGGTGAATCTATCTGATCGTTATCCATTCCTCACTGGCAAACCTCTGCAGTGTTTTCTGGAAGTTTCAGATCCCTTTATTTGGGAATCTCCTATGTGTGGCTGCCCTCTAGTGGATAAACAACATTCTGCTACTTATG